AGAAATAAATTGTTTCACAGCCCTGGAGCCTAGAAGTCTAAAGTCAAGATGTCAGCGGATTATTTCCTTCTGAGGGGCATGAGAGAAGGATCTGTTCCATGCCTCTCTTCTGGGCTTGAAGACTCATTACTCTGATCTCTGCCTTCATGTTTACAAGGCATTTGCCTTGTGTGTGTCTGTCTCCAAATTTTTCTCTTTTATAAGGATAGAAGTCATGTTGGGTTAGGGCCCACCCATAATGATCTGATTTTAACTTGATTATCTCTGTAAAGACCCTATTTCCAAATAAGGTCATATTTTGAAGTACTGGAGGTTAGGACTGCAATGTGTGTGTGTGTGTGTGTGTGTGTGTGTGTGTGTGTGTGTGTGTGAATCTCATGTGTGTGTTGGGAGGGTGGCACAATTCAACCCATAACAAACGGTAAGGTTTTTTTTTTAAATCAGTAAGTCTGTTACTTTTTGGTTTTGAAATTCAACTTACGTGGCATCTCTTCTATACAAGTAAAGTGCAGAATTGTGGAGTCCATCATTTTGATCAAGAGTCCTGTCTCCCCTCGTCAAATATCTAACCCTAGCAGGGCTCACAAGTTCCTCCTTCAAACGGATTAAAAGAATGTTCTTGATTAGAAGAAAATGTAAGAATTTCAATTTATCAACTTGAGATAGGTAAAGTCTTCCTAGAAGGCTTAGATTTGATGGTATAAAAATTACAATATCCCCAATAATCATGGAATAAGCAAACTTAAAAGATGTAATACATTTGGAGAAAGTCTGTGCAATATATATAACAGGGAAAGTAATTCATATTATTAAAAAGAATTTTTACAAATAAACAAGAAAAAGATAATCTATAAAAGTGCAAACACACAAGCTAAGTTGTTCAACTACCCTATGTTGTTGAACCATCAAGAAAATGCAAATGAAACCAACAAAATACTTGCAAGGTGTCTAAATCCTAAAACATATAGATAATAGTGTTAACCAAAATGCAGGGAAATAGGTTTCCTATATACTGTGTTTTGCAGTGTAGACTGGTAGAGCCATTTTGGAAGGCAAATTTTCAATATCTGTAAAAATATAAAATAGGCATATCCTTTGACTGGCAATTTCACTTCTAAGAAATCATCCATATATAAATATATATGTATATACATCATATGTATATATATTTGTTGATTTATGATTCTGGTTAAGATAACTAAGAGAAGTAAAAAAATTTAAATATTATTAGTAAGTGTGCAGGTTAATTAAATTTTTATGCAGTCATACTAGAAAGTCTGTGTGTGCACATGTGTGTCTATGAGCACATCTCAAAAATACATTTTTAAATTTTTTTAATGTTTATTTATTTTTGAGAGAGACAGAATGTGAGTGGGTCAGGGGCAGAGAGAGAGGGAGACACAGAATCTGAAACAGACTCCAGGCTCTGAGCTGTCAGCACAGAGCCCGACGTGGGGCTCGAACTCACGAGCTGTGAGATCATGACCCGAGCCGAAGTCGGACACTCAACCAACTGAGCCACCCAGGCGCCCCTCAAGAATACATTTTTACATTAAAAAAAACCCAAGCTGCAGGAAAATACACATGGTATAGTCCAATTTATATAAGGGAATTGGGTATTTATATGAACGCTCTTATAAATGAAAGGGGATGAGATTGTCAAGACATACTCTAAGATGTCAAAATGGGTTATCATAGGAGCTGAGAAGGAAATGAAGTGGAGATTGGGAGAGTCAGTGTTGGACTTTCAGGCTTTGCTCTACGTCCTTATGTAATAATATCTTGAGTCTTTTGCAATGAGAGAAGATGTGTGTGTTTGTGTGTGTGTGTTGTATAATAATAATATCTTAGCATAAAACCTAAAAATGAAATATCCACATATTTGTCCTATAGTTACCCCTTTCCCCAAATTGCCTCTATCCCAGTGATGTGTGTTGTACAGATAAGCAACAAATAAAATTCCAAATTTTTCTCAAGGGCAAACGAATCAGTTTCTGAAATTCATTCCCATTTTTGAGAAGTTGGAAGGACTAATTGGTGCGATATCCAGAGGTTGGGTGCCTCCTCCGATCTGAGTGAAGAAAGTCTGTGAGACAACCCAATGGTTGTTCCCACCTATTTTGGGGAGACCTATATAGAAAGCAACATTTGATGAAGACAAAGAACTATGGCAGCACTGGGTGTTATATGTAAGTGATGAATCACTAAATTCTACTCCTGAAACCATTATTACACTATATGTTAACTAAATTGGATTTAAAATTAATTAATTAATTAATTACAAATATATTAAATTAAAAAAAAAACAACAAAGAGCTATGGCAAATTCTCATTTCCCTTTCCCTTTATGGCAGGTTTACAATTGTGTCTCTTCGTTTCCTTGCAAGCGTTTTAGTCCTTCCCTTTAATAACTAAGCCCTTCTTCTGCATCCTCTTTGATCCTTTTATTCTTTCTTCCTTGACTTCCTTACAATCTTCTCTTCCCCTCTTCCCCCTTTTCTTCTTTACATCTCTTCTACTGGGCTCCGGCTCATTCTTGTGCAGTGACCTCTTGAGATGGCAGCTGCTGCTTCCCTTCCCCCCCTGCCCCTCCCCTCCCCGCCAGGCAGATAGTGTACAGGTGCAGCCCCATCTGTCCCAGTGTGTGTCTCTGGCGATGCAGTAGTACACGGCGGCATCTCTCAGGGTAACCCGGGGCAGGACCAAGGTACTGGACTTTCTGTCTTTTGCGATGGTTAGAGAGGCCATTCCATTAGTCACATTGTCTTTTAGACCATGAATCAAATACTCTGGCCCATGGTGGGGAATCTGTCGATACCAATGTATGTACTCACTCCCACTGATTGTGGAGTGGTTGCAGGGCAGGCGTACAGGTTCCTCTTCTGTACTCTCCATTGCATTTGGCTGTGTGGTCTTAGCATTGCTCATAATACCTGAGGGGTTGAGAGACAGTAGATTAGCTCTGGGTGGTCAATTGTGGGTGCCTCTAAGGTCAGGTTCACAAGCACTCCCAGAACTCTCCTCTTGGCCTTGTCCCCAAACCTAAGCATTTTTGTGTGTGCTACACAGGACAAGAGAAATATTACTGGCATGTATTATTGATCCCTCCAGATCCACAAGGCCAAAGATAAATTTCTGTGTTCCATGACACTTGGTTTCAAGGACCTCAAAACTCCTTACAGCATGAGAGCTGTGAGACTCAGGAGGTCTTCTGTAAATAGTGGGTATGATTTGCTCCTCACAGTGATACTCAGAGACACTCTCTAGAGAAACATAGATGAACAGAAGTGTATAAATGCAAATTTTGCCAGTCATTTGGTAAGTATAGTGGTAGAAATAGAAGAAACAGATGCCTGCCTTTTGCTTTAGCTGAGAAAGTTCTCTTTATTAGACCTAGATCACTTACCTAAAGTTAGGAGAATAGCTAATCCCGTCAGTGATCTCATAGTTCAAGTGCAAACTGGAGTCCCAGGTCGCAGAGCTCAGGATCTGTATCTTAGCCTACATTGGGGGAGGTCCCAGCAAGACCTAGGCAGCCAGTAGCACAGCCCTCTGCCAGGCAGCTTTCCAGTTGGGTGTTTCCAAGCCAAGCATCAGGTGAACACGGAGCAGTCTCTTGATTGGGTCTACTCCCACCCCTAGGATTAAACAAAAAAATTTAAAAGAGAACAAGGATATTTTCCCAATGTCCAGGCCTAATTTAAAGGGCTTACACTAAGATCCTTTTCAAGGCTCAAACTCAAATTGGCTATGTCTGAGTGCAGCTGAATGAGCAAAATCATCCCTAAAGAGATTATCCAACTCTCATTTGTGGCACAAGGCAAAACCCACCACTAATTGGTAACTTGATGTTCCGCTGAGCTGGTATGAATGTCTTTTAATCCAAGAAACCTATATTGAGCCCTGGACTGTATAAGGAAGACGAGAATTCCTATCTGTATGCTCAGCCAGAGACAGTACATCTCAGGAGCAGTAACAATTTAACTTCAAAAGTTGGAAACTTCTTTCTGGTTAAAAAAAAATGACCATAAGCTGAGCTAAAAATCCAATAACATTGGAAGAAAATATTTGCAAGTTTATGACAAAAATAACTTCACAGTTGTATGATACTACTGTGCGTACTCTAACAGGAAAAGAAAAAATTGGAATCCAGTGTAAAAGCCAAAGTGAAAAAAAAAAAAAAAAAAAAAAAGCCAAGGTGCCTGGTATTCAGGTCTTCCATGTTGGCTCCTGAAATGATATTTTAAGCTTCTTCCAGACAGACATTGTTGGATGCCTCTGGTCTTGATACAGAAACCAATGACTTGAATGGTACTTATTCCTATCCCACCTGAGCCCATCTTCAACACATATTTTCTTGTCTCCAAGCCTAGCGGTGGTGTGCATTGAGGCCGCTAAAAAGAAGGAAGGAATGAGAAGGGATTATTTGAAATGAAGCCATTTTACAAGAGGTGGAAATAAACATAAAAGAGTTTCCCTATTTATTCTAAAGAAATGGTTGTTATTAAAGAAATGGGATAGAATAAAATTAAAATTTTTCATCCTTCTCTGCTCTAATAACTAAGCTTATCACTTTACTATAGGAAATATTTGGCCATTAAAAATTAAACTATTAATCACCTCTCTCTTTTCTTCCCATGAGAGGTCCGCTCTTTGCTCTGCATTGGGTAAGAGGTTTACCTATGTCCTTGAAGCTGTGTTCTCATTCCATGTGAGATTATGAAGTGCAAGGTGACAGGGGAGGAAAATGAAATTTTTGCGCAACTCAGTGATAATCTCCCCCTCAGTCTGGAAGGAGCTTTGGTTTGCAGGTGTAACAGCCCCCTCTTGTGACCGTGTGTATGAACTTCTTTACTTAGAACTAGGAACCAAGTCTGTCCACAGTCTTTCAAGGTTTGTGTTTTAGGTCTAAAGATAAATACCTTGTCTATGATACCTCCCTCTAGTGGAAGGCTCAGTGATTCCTACCACAGATATATTCCTACCACAGAGTATTCCTACCACAATACTCTGAGATGGAAGACTGAATTATTTTCAGTCACTCAGGGATTTTAGAACTATTTCTTGTTAGGTTTTTTTCTCCCAGAAGTAGTTGTAAAACTCACTCTCAACCAAATTCTTTTCACTTTCCTTAGTACTTTCTTCTTCCTGTGTTTGAAGGCATTTCCCAAAACCCGCACTGTTTGTTGTTTAGCATAGGATTTGGTGAAAAGGGGGCAGAAAAAGGAAACTATTAGCAAATAATGCATTGTTTTAGGCAAGTCGCTTTTCTAAGGGGAACAGAGGGGATCTGTCTGGCAGGTTATCTCACTAATGCTGACTAGGTAATTCCATGTTAACTGGTTAAAGTTTACATTCCTGGAAGGTTGGAACTACAGTTAGGTTAGGGATTAAGTCTTGGTTTACTGATGTGGGGTTTAGCACAAGTGACTCCATTTTGAGCCTTCTGTTTCCTTTTTAACAAGCCTAACTGTTTAGGGACAATTAGAGAAGCACTGGGTGGTTTACTTTAACCCAAGATACAAATGTAATACTTGGCAATCTCAGGGAACAATATTGTTTTATACACTGAGCTCAATTAGGAGAACTTTTTTTTTAATAGGAAGGAAGTTTACATTAGAAAGTCTCAACTGGGCTACCACAGTGCCTTCCTTCTTCCTGTCAGTGGTTCATGGGTTTTTCCTAAGCCTCTAAGCAGGTGGCTGCCTTTGTGGAGCTCCAAGGTTTTTGTTCATCTTCCACTATTATTTTTATTACCGTGGAACTACTGAGAGCACAGAAATACACCGCCGAGTCTGCCAGTTGTACGAGAGAGATGGTGAGAGCGATGGATTTTTCTGTCTTTTGAAAGTTCATGGAGAGGCGACCCTGCTTTGCACTTGGCTTGCTTTCATCCTGGTAAATGAGGAAATGCATCCTTCCACTGGGAGGCTGTTTGTACCAATACAAAGTATAGTAATTACTCCAACTGGTTTCATACTTGCACTCCATGGTGGCAGCTTTTCCTTCCTGAATTATTACCGTATTCTGCATTTGGATCACTTTCTCAGCCATGCCGGATCCTATGGAAAAAGAAAGGAAGTTTGGTTCTCTGAAATGTCTCAGATGGGTCATGAGGACTGGATTAATCTATGACACAAGGAGAAAGAAAAGAACCACATAGAATTTCATTTCCCCATCATCTCTCTTCCCTCTTAATATCCCTGTCCGTTACAGCTTGCAGAGTCCCATTCTCGAACTAGAAGAGGCAGCTGAGGCCTCATGTTTACGGCCACTCTTACTGAAGCCAAAGGAGGCCAGGAACGCCCACAGCAGGCCAGGGCAGAGCATGATAGAAATTCTTCTGGTTGAAATTTCTCTTTGTCTCACTCCAGTCCAGAGACCAGCTCTTATCTGAGTCTCTGAGTGTAGGGTTCCTGGGGCTATAAGATGTTTCTGTCCCCAAATAGGAAGTAAGGTTCACAAGTGGGATGTCCCACTGCTATATGCAGAGACTGAAAATCTATCCCACTGCAAACCTCTGCTTTGCCTTGATGTTCTTCTGTAGCAATACACTTGAAAAATGGCTATTCTATCCAGCAGGGTACAAAAATGAAGTTTAATTATCTTTTTGTTATTGAATTCTCACTTAATATTATTGTGATCAGAGACTATATTCTGAATGATTTAAATCCTTTGCAACTGATTAAGTCTTGCTTTAAGATCCTGAGTATAGTCAACTTTGATCAGTATTCTGTGGGCATTTGAAAAGAATATATATTCTGTTGTTTGAGGTTAAAGTGTTCTGAGATATGTAAAGTAGGTAAAGAATATTAATTGTGTTGGTCATATTTTCTCTACATTTCTACTGAGACATGTGTGTTAATGCCTGCCACTGTGGTTGTATATTTGTTTGTTGATTTTTACATCAACAAATTCTACTGGTTTAATTCTACTGATTTATGTTTGATATATTTTGAAGCCATGCTATTAGGTGCATATAAAAATAGAATTGTTCTATCTTCTTGGTAGATTGTGCACTTAATCATTTTGAAGAGTTGCTCTATATCTCTAATAATTCCTGGTTTAATGTCTACTTTATCTGATATTGGTATAGCTCCTCAGCTTTCTTTTGGCTAGGGACTCCCACAGTCTTGTTATCCATATGCAACAGAATGAAACTGTTATCTCTGCCTCCCACCGTACTAAAAAATTAACTTGAAATGGATCAATGACCTCAATGTGCAAACTAAAACCATAAAACTCTTAGAAAAAAAACATAGATGTAGATCTTTGTGACCTTGAATCGGGCAATGGTTTTAAAATACGACATGAAAACACAAGTAACTAAAGAAAATATAGATAGATTAGACTTCATCAAAATTAAAATCTCATCTACTTCAAAAGATACTATCAAGAAGGTAAAAAAGAGAACCCCCAGAATGGGAGAAACTGTCTGGAAATCATATATCTGTTAAGGGTTGAGTATCTGGAATATATAAAGAACAACTTAAGGATAAAAAGACAAATAACCCAAGGAAAAATTTAATTTTAATAGGGTTTTCCTAGACTGCTAGGGTTGGTGGAGATAAAGGTGACAGGGAATGTTACTTTCCCAAATATACTATACATATTTTCACTATATTTCCTTTTATATAATTTTTATTTTCTAACCTTGTATTTTTATTTCCTATTCACAAATCCAAAAGTAATTTGTATTACCAATATTTTCACTACTCTTAGCTTTCCTTTATAAATATTATTTTCTTTTGCCTTATAAAGGAGTTGGTGATGTTTCTTCCCCTCTAATTTGAATCATTTGTTTAAAATAGTTATTACTTTCCTTTCATAAAGGAGCATTGGGAAAAATGGAAAAATTTCATACCATTGCTGATGTATATATAGACCTATGAGGAATGAAAGAAATCGGTGGTATGTTTGGGCAAAATCTCACAACTCATGAGTAGTATCAATTGAACCCTGAGTATAGACATTCCTCAAAGACTTTCCCAGTTATTTCTGGTGAGCAGAGGAGAGAGGCAGAGTTACGTGTTGCTATCTCTTCCTGTTTATCCTACTCAAAAACAGTGTCTGACACACAGCAGACAGTAAATATTTGTTGAATGTAGAATAGTTGCAATGTGAAAAAGTTTTGCTGGAATTTTTCTGATTGCTCCTTGAATTGCATCTTTTATAACGAACACCCAATACTTTGAAGATGGATTGTACAAAGGAGAATGGCCATAAATGTTACATGAAAAGTATATTTTATATGTTAGACTGATACGGAGGCATATGCAGATGGATCATCTAGAGTAAAAATATTTATAGTAAATGGTTATCTTTGGGCAGCGGAATTTTAAATGACTTTAATTTTTCTATCACATTTTCTATACTCTCAAAAGTGTCCATAATGAGCATGTGTTAGTTTTATCATAATTATTTAAGGCAATATTTTTTTTCTGAAGGCCTTCCACATTGTCACCCAGAAGAGTTTTAGATCTCTTTGGCACAATATGAACCATGTAAGATTTCAGTGAAAGTAACTTAAATACCCCAGTGAGGTTATCCTTACAATTTATTTATTGACTTAAAAACACACTATTTCTCTAGAAATATAATATATTGGAGCTAGTACAAATTGTAGTAGCTCATCTTGAGTTATTGAAAACGGAATTTTTAATAATCACAATGATGAGATCTCTGCATTCATTTCAAATTGGAAATAAACACATTATGGCAAGCCATTCAATCCCAAACCTGCTCGAGGACAAAGAATGTGGCTGGGTCCCCAGCTACAGGCTGCAGGTGCCTGAAGAGTTCTATATAACTACTAAACAGAAATCCAAGGCTGAGTTTCCTGACTGAGTGGCTGTGATATGCAAGAAGGCACATTCAACTTTTTTTTTTCAACAGTACTGTGAATCTCCTGTCCTGTTTTTTATCCACATTTGAATGAGTCTGTTAGAAATGTAGAGTCTTTCTCTGCTTCCTTCCTGTACCAAGGAAATAATTCAAAGCCCTGTCAGTATAACTGTACTTGATAACAGCTGTTTTTCCTCTCCCAGACATTCAGAATTGATGGACTCTGCCCCACATCCTTTTTTTTGGCCACTCACCCCTGTTGAAGCAATGAAGCTGAGTTACTGGATAATTTTCAGAATTTGCATTTTATTTTTAGAGTCTATAGGAAACTTGAGAACCAGAATGACCCTCTTTTCCTTCCCCAGACTTGTGATGGATCCTTCCAGAAACCCTTGGACTCACAGTGTCAGCATCTGTAATAAATCTTAGATAAATATATTAATAAGAAACGTCCTTTTTTTGCCAACTTCCTCATAATTATACCTAGCGAATAAAAGTGTATGAATTAACATCTCTGTCAGGAGTGTCCAATCACATCATCTCTAGGAGCAGAAAATAGAAGCCATGAAAATATAGAGTTCTACAATAAGGCTGCCCTGACTTAAGTACCAAAGTTTTCCTGAAACAATCTTATTGTTTCATGAGCCATTGAAAATCCAGCTTCTTGAATTATTGTTAATGTATATAAACTTAAGAACACTATTGTGGGATCTCAAGAAACTTAACAGAAGACCATGGAAGAAGGGAAGGGGAAAAAAATAGTTACAGAGAGGGAGGAAGGCAAACCATAAGAGACTCTTAAATACAGAGAACAAACTGAGGGTTGATGGGGGGGGGGGGGGGGGAAATGGGTGATGGGCATTGAGGAGGGCACCTGTTGGGATGAGCACTGGGTGTTGTATGGAAGCCAACTTGACAATAAATTATATTTAAAAAAAAAAAAAAGAAAAGAACACTCTTGTGGTTATGTTAAAAAAGAATCTCTTTCTTTTTGAGTACTCCACTTCAAATTTTTAACTCCACACTCAACTTGAAGTTGTCCCTGCTCAGTGAGATGTCTCCCTTTCTGTATTTGCTCTTGCTCCCCGCAACAAGAGATGGCTGTTTGTTATTCAGTGCTCGCTAGGCTTACTGTGTGGGTAGGTAGCCTCTGTTATCTTGGTGCAGTGTCAATCTTAGACTGATCCATGTACCTAGTCCTTGGATCTTGGATTTTCTCAGCATTAGGGCCTCTGCTCCTGTGTCAGCCAAACACCACATGTTTCTCTATGCGTCTTGTGTAAGAAAATGTTCTGCCTCTTCCTCATTGTGTAAGCAGAGTTAGGGAGTCCTCAGAAAAAGAAAGATGAAGCATAGCTTTCAAGACACAAGAGAAATCATTTCAGGCCTGCATCTATTTTTGTGATTTATGCCCAACAGGACTACTTGCCCAAGCATCCTGCTTGCAGAATTTCCGAAAAGGTGTTGGAAATTACAAAGAAATGCAAAAAACCTCAGTAGTTAAAGATTTTAAGGAAACAAAGGGAATGCAAAAACTAGCAGTCTCTACAAAGCCCAACATATCAGATATGGTAAATCGGTAGTAAAACTCCCAGTGCTTTTTCAAAAGTAAGGATTGACCTAACACACATTCTTGAATCATTTTTGCAGGATTTAAGCCCCTTTGAGCCTCAAACACAAGGCTAACTGGAGCAGAGAATTGAAGATACTGACCCTTGCTGGCCTTCGTGACTTCAATCAACTAGGACCTGGACTCTGCCGTCTTAGGATGGCTTGTGTCACAATTCTATACCGAACTCTCCTTTGTCAAGCCCCTTCGTGAATATGCAGAGAGTCATGCTTTGGAAATTATTCCCTGTGACCTCCTTTTTTGCTGCAAAAAATTATTATTTTTTTTGTTTTCTCCCCCCCCCCCCCCCCGGCCGGTGTGGTCTCTATCTGTTAACTCACCAACGAGAGAGAAGCTTGTTCAGTTACAATTGGTAGCAGAATGATTAATGGAACTGTTATAGGATTTTCAGCTCAGAATGTTTTCCTGCCCCTTCGACAAAGGTAGATGGCTTTTTCCTTGACTATTCTCTCTGTTGCAGTGGATCTTAACTGTGCCCTAGGGGTGTGTGTGAGTGTGTGTGCGCGCGCACGCGTGCATAGGCGTGTATGCACACATGTGACAGAATTTGCTCTTTATCCCCATGCCCAACAGCCTCAGACTTTTCCTTTCTGTGAGAGACTGACCTGGGCAAGGTTCTTAGGCAAGGGACTTTTGCCTCCTGCTGTCACAGCCAATCACATGGTGCAGACCAACATCTCTGATGGGGCTCCCTCTGTCACCCTCTCTGCTCCCAGTCATTTTTGTGAGCACAAGGTGGAGATCTGTGAAAATGGTCCCACCAGTGAATACAGACTCCTCTTGAGTCTGTGACTCGCTGCAGTTCTACGTTGTCATGAGAGCCCTCGCTCAGTCTTGTGGCTGATTTCTTCTTGCTTATAAGGCAGCCAGCACCTGTTTTACCTATGGTCTGCTACTGTGGTGCCAGTCCAGATGCCTACTTGTCCTTGGAGTACCCTGTTACTCTTTGGAATCCGGCCTACTTGGTTTCCTTGTGAAGTCAGGTCTCTACTAGGTAAAAGCAAAGTTGTGATTTTGCCGTTTATCTAGTTTTACATGGTAGGGCGGATATGACACTCTTTCATGCTTTGTATATCTTATGACAAATTGGAACTCTGTCCATCTTCCAGTGCACCTAAAATTGAAATATTGGCATCAGGAATGCAGCACTGCAAAATATATGATCACTGTAAGTCACAATTCATAATTGAAATATCTCCTTCCTATTCAGTCAGAATAGGACAGCTCTGTTTTACCTTCTGCTGGTTGTATTTTGACTTCTACTGATCGCTAAACCCCCTTTAAGAAAATGAGCCTATTTATATTTTCTTTTTAGGAATTTTGTAGAAACTAGAATCTTCATTGGATCTTTGCTGAAGAAGGAACAGGCAAGTTCCAGAAGGGATCTTTGCTGATTCTGTGATTTCAGCTAGATTCCCATGATTGGGAATCATGGGAGTAAATCTGGATCCAAGAAGAATAAATCCCAAAGAAACACTGCAAGGCCGAGGAATCAGGTAATGATAGTTTATTCTGGCCCAGATGGGCTCTTTCTGGGACCTTTAAAAATAGGTCCTGAAGATGAGCTTATGGATAGTATAGATATCCAAGGAACATCTTCTCTATTATTATTCACCTTGGTCTTGATTCCAAAGATCATGAGGAGGAATATTTTGTAATATATATAAGGGAACTTGGACACAGACACTTCCCTTAAAGCAATTAGAAACAACTGAATGGTTTTACCTAGAATCTAATTTTTATTCTCGGAATGAACAAGTAATTGACGACACCAATGGGAGTAAGTATTCAACAAGCATAGCAATCCTAATTTCAGTACACAAAGATACAGTTTCAGGGGAGGAATGTCCAAATTGTCCAGCAACAGGTAATAACCACAAAAAAGTTGACACTTGATGTATTTCATTTCTGATTCTCATAAGTTGTCAAAGCCTTAGGTCAGGGCACACCATGAAGAAGAAAGGAGGTGAATGATTTGGCACTGTGTCAGACCTGCAGACATGTGAGATAGGGTCTCTTCATTATCCTTAGCAGAGGATTCCTAGGAGGAATTTTGGGGAAAATGACTCATCAGAATCGAAAGACCAGTCCTGTGGACTTGACAAAAAAACAAAACAAAACAAAACAAAAAACAAAAACAAAAAAAAACCATTGGGAAGTAGGTGACTGAATAAAAAAAAAGCCTTCTGTGATTAAGAGTCTGCAATCTAACTTTTTGTTTTCCATGAACAAGTCAGGTAGATGCAAACTCAACTGCAGACCCTAGAGTATATAGTAGTGCCTCATCATATGCATCCTTTAACTCAGTGATGATTAATTAAAGCTTGTGATGGCCACGTGACTGTAGGGGGACTCCATTCAACAGACCAGCTACTTGGAGTATGGGAGTCAAAGGGCATGGTAAGCCAAACTGAAGTTGGCAAGGGTTAGATGAAATGCAGCCAAACAGGTAAGAAAACGTGTCTGGTCCAGAATAGGTTACTATCCTACTTAGTGTGATATGCTTCTGTCCTGTCCATAGTCTTAGCTGAGGTTCCGTTTCTCTGGTCGGTCTTCAAGGCATCCCAGCATATAAATTTCTATTTTGTGTGCTTATTTTTCCCCAGTGTCTTCCCTGATTTATAATAAGAAATATGTATTTGGTCTTTAACCCCATTCATGGCACAGAGCTCTTAAAATCTTTGGAATTTCCTGTGATAAGAGCTTTGAAGGTGTCTTTTATGTTAATGAGGTGACTTTTGGAAAGTGCTTAGGCAACCTAAGGATGGGGACTGCTGCTGGGGACCAGCCTTGTGATTCAATTGCAGCTTTCAGTACCCACCCCCTACACTCCAGGGAGAGGAGGAGGGCTGGAGGCTGCCAATGGCCAATGAGTTAATCAGTCGTAGCTGAGTGATGAAGCCTTTGTAAAAACCCAAAAGGACAGGGTACAGAGATCTTCTGGGTTGGTGAACACGGGGAGGTGCTGGGAGAGTGGCTGAGAGAACATGGACGTTCCGCACTCCTTCCCTGTGCCTTGCCCTCTGCACCCCTTCCATCTGGCTGTTCCTGAGTTCCTGACATCCTTTTCTAATAAACCAGTAATCTAGTAAGTATAACATTTCTCTGAGTTCTGTGAACCACTCTAGCAAATTAATGAGACCTGAGGAGGAGGTCATGGGAACCTCTGCTTTAGCCAGTTTGTCAGAAGTACAGATAGCAACCTGGACTTGGAACTGGCATCAGGAGTCTAAGGAAGGTGTTGTTGGAATCTCTCATCTCTAGTAAGTTGGTCAGAAGTACAGGTAACAACGTGGGCTTTCAACTGCATCTGAAGTGGTGGGGAGCAGTCTTGTGGGACTGAGCCCTCAACCAGTGGGATCTGTCTCCAGGCAGATAGTGTCAGAGTTGAGTTGAATTGTAGGACCCCCAGCTAGTGTCTGGCCACTTGCTTGGTGTCGTGGGAAGTCCCTCCCACCCCCACAATGGAGTTGAGTCCAGGAACTCAAAAAGAACTATCTGCCCCAAAAGATTGAGTTGAGCAGGTATAAAATCTAGAATAATCAAATATAATTTTAAAATACTGTCCTTCATGTGCTGCTTTAGTTTAAAAATGCCATACTCCCTGGGAAGAAATAGATATACGATGACATCTGAGGACTGTGACTTTTGCAAATGGTCCTGAGTGGTCCCCGAACCAGCTGTGAAAGAGTACTTCTTGGAATGTATTTAACAACTTCCTTTCTGGATCTTATCTTACACACTGTAACTGCCAGCTGCTAACACATGTCTGGGTAAAGTTTGAGACTTCCCTGGGAGTACAAGAACAGGAAATTGCCACAGGTTGAGTTCTGGCTTTTTGTAAGGCCGTCTCTGAGACAAGAGAAATATGTTGAAGTCTTCCAAGTATGAAAATAATGTGATGAGCCTGATAGTTTTAGCTGCTTTTTGGAAATTCACAGAATATTGACCCTGTGTTGCACTGGTTTCTGTATCTGTGTGCTGGGGAATGAGGAAAATTCTTTCCCTTCCGGGAGGCCTTTTGCACCAATACAATACATAACACATAACCCTGGCATCATATGAACAGTCTAGTTTCACAGTCTTGCCCTCCTGCCTAGATGTTGTTGGTGGGGATTGAATGACATTTTTGGACATGCTAGATCCTGTAGATGGAAAAAATAACAAGACTGATCCCCTGAACTGATCTGTAAGGGAGCTGGCTACCAGGGTATGAGTTAAATCTTCGGTCAAGGCAGAAGGAGTAAAAACTCTGGTTCCTTTCTCCTTTCTTCTATTTTCCCAGGAATGTCTATCATAGTTAGCCATTGTTCATCCCCTCTGCTCCCTACCTCCAATCCCCCCTCAATCCTAAACTGTCCTCAGCTTCAGTAGCAGCAACTATCCCTATCAAGGAAGACAGAGGCCACCAGTGCCCATGATATGCTGAGAAGAGTCATGTTGGCACCTCTATCTCTAGGAAAGGAATCTTCTGCTCGGAGCCTGGGATTCATTCTTATTCAGTTTTTTGTAAAGCTCCACCTAGAATTGGTGGAGAGGGACACTGCAGCTGTTTCAAAACAGGTTTGATAGGGAAAGGTTGCCAGATCATATCCTGCTCACACTTGCATGGACTAGGTTTAGCTGTTCGTTGTGTTTAAGATAGCTGCTTTCCTCCTGAAAAAGCTGTTCAGTTATTCTCCAGAAATTTGGGGGCCATGTACATTTATTCTCAGATTTGGTTTGACATTAAAAATATATAATACCTGGCTCAGTCGGTTGAGCATCCGACTTCAGCTCAGGTCACGATCTCACCGTTCAGAGTTCGAGCCCCACATCAGGTTCAGTGCTGACAGCTCAGAGCCTGGAGCCTGTTTCAGATTCTGTGTCTTCCTCTCTCTCTCTGCCCCTCTCCTGCTCGTGGTCTCTCTCTCTCTCTCAAAAATAAACATTAAAAATTAAAAAAAATATACATAATACCTGTGTTTTCTTTCCCAAATAAAAAAAATATATTTTATTTTTTAAAGTTTATTTATTTATTTTGAGAGAGAGAGAGCATGCGTGCATGCACGAAAGAGAGGGGGGAGGGCAGAGAGAGAGAGAGAGAGAGAGAATCCCAAACTGCCCCAGTGCAGAGCCCGACTTGGAGTTTGAACTCACGAACCATGAGATCATGACCTGAGCCAAAATCAAGAGTCAGATGCTTAACCAACTGAGCCAACCAGGCACCCCAGAGAAAAAATATTTTAAATTAAAATACCAATGAGGATCTCCATCCTTGTATGGGGG